AAGACAAGGGGTGTCCACTATCACCACTGCTCTTCAACATAACATTGGACGCTCTACCCAGAGCAATAAGACGGAAAAAGATATACAAGGAATCCAAATAGAAAAAGAAGTAAAACTGTCCTTATTTGCAGATGATATGATAATTTACATGGAAAACCCTAGAAACTCCATAGAGAAACTAATCAAAACCATCAGCCAGTTTAGTAAGGTAGCAGGATATAAAATCAACACACAAAAAGTCAGAGGCCTTTCTATACACAAACAACCAATCAGAAGAAGTGGAAATTAAAAAACCCATCCCCTTTTCAATTAAAACAAAAGAATCAAATACCTGGGAATAAACCTAACAAAAGAGGTAAAAGACCTATACAAAGAAAAATACAAAACACTGTTAAAAGAAATACAAGAAGACATCAAGATATGGAAAGACATCCCCTGCTAATGGACTGGGAGAATTAACATAAAGTGGCCATCCTACCAAAAGCGATATTCAGATTTAATGCTATCACTTTTTCAAAGTGATAGAAAAAATACCGATGATATTCATATGGAACCACAAAAGCCCTCGAATAGCCAAAACTCTCATGACTAAAAAGAAAGAAAATGGAGGCATTACAATCCCAAACTTCAACCTATGTTGCAAAGCCATGATAATCAAAACTACATGGTACTGGAACAAGAACAGACACAGACCAGTGGATTCGAATAGAAAACCCAGACATAAGCCCACAGATTTATGGGCAGCTAATCTTTGACAAAGGAGCAAAGAATATACAATGGAACAAAGAAAGTGTTTGATCCTTCTTTATGCCACTCAGCAAGCAGTACAGGGTATGACATCTTCCAGGAGTGTTGCACAGAGCCCAGCATCATATTTATGAGAAGGGAAAATAACTTTATCAACATAAATGCTGATTAATATTAAAAAATTCAGGAGTGCTATGTCCAGGGCCCCTCTGCAGGTCCCAGGTGAAAATGAAAACAACAACAACAACAACAACAAAAATCCCCCCAATTTTTTGGTATTGGTTTTATCTTTGAAATATTAAAAAAGTTACCGATGCAGATATATTTTGACTCACACTGTTCGGAGCTGAAAGTTCCCCCTATATTATTGATTCCATGGGATCTACTGTTCTTGGACAAGAAGATCTGAAAATGCTCAAACTGGCAACTCTTTACCTACAATTCCATACTCTACCACTAGGTGGCAGTGAGGTTCACACAAACGTTATCAAAACTAGTTTTTCATCTCTACATGTCTACTTAAGCTACATCCTAAATTAAAACAAGATATACACACAATATACTGTTAGCTTATCATATTGGCATAGATTTAAAAGTCTGGTAATACCATAGTTGGCTAGGATTTGGGGAAACATGCAGTGTTAATATGCTGTTGGTGGGAATGTAAATTACTATAGACTCCTGGAGGGCAATTTGGCAATACACATCAAAAGCTTTAAACATGTGCAAACCCTTTGGTCCAGCAATTCAACTTCTAGACATTTATTCTAAGGACATAATCATGGAAATAAGCCTACTGTTATTTCCAGGATGTTGATTATATGGGTGAAATATTGTCAATATAAATAATATAACTTGAAGATTGGTTAAATAAATTATACATGATGTATATGGTAAAAACTAAGTAGCTCTTACATCCTATAAGAATATCTAATGATGTGGAACAATTTCATGATTTAGTAAGTGCAAAAAACAAACAAACAAGCAAAGCCAAAAACCAGGCTACAAAACAGTATATTTACTATAATCCTAGTTTTAGATAATAAATATAAAAACAAACTTGTACATAAAAAATGCTGGGAGAAAAAAAATGTGCAAAATGATATAAAAATAAACTCTTGTAAAAAATAAAAAAAATTAGGATACATAAAAAAAAAAATCCTGGGAGAACAAACATCAAAACATTGAGAGGACGTATCTGTGGGTGGTAGGATTATGGATGGTTGTGTGTTTCCTTTTTGTGCTTTTCTCTATTTGGGAAGGCTTTAAATACTTTTTTTTCTTTTTCTTTTGTTATCATCAGCTGAGAGCTATTAATGATTCCCCTTGCAGCAGAAAGGACAAGGAGGTTGTGGACAAGTTAACTCCCGACCTTTTCAGTCCACCACCTACCCCACAGACATGGGCTCCTATGGCCCTGTACCTCCAACCCCTATTGAGTCCACATATGGACTTAGTTTTAGCTGGTCTTGCTCAGGGGAGGGGCCAGCTGGGATTAATCCAAAAAAGGAAGCTGGCACAGTCCCTACCAACTGTCCTGTTTCATTTTTTTTTCTTACTCTCATTTCCCTTTAGAAAGTGACATGCTTTTAGCACAATGAAAAAAGGGTTTCCTTAGGTTGGAATTCCCTAAGCTGCAGAAAAAAGCCATTTTGGACAACTGACCATTCTCAAAGCCATTTTCCTGTTCAAGGTATGTAGTCAGGATAGACTGGTGAGCAAAGAGAGTGAGTGATCCATGGACTCCCACATCTGCCCTGGACTTGGGCTTGCTGTACATAAGCCCATGTGACCCTCAACTCTGTAGGTGTGCTCCAGCCAGGTTCTGAGAGGCCGAGGAGCCTGCTGGAGCCCACACAGCAGAGCCAAGAATCTTCGTGAAACTCAATATATGAGGTATGTTGTAGGTGGCCAGGGCTCCTCAAGTTCCACAATTGTGGTAACCTCTGAGGTGAGCTCAGGGAGTCACCTATAAACAGACCCCATGCTGGAAGTCAGGGCTTCCACGAGCCAACAGATCTGGATTTCAGTTTAAAGCACACAGGTCCCATGAGTCCGTCCTACCCTCAGTGTTCTAGTGGCCTGCTTTCCCTCCTGCAGGGGACAATAGTGGGTGTCATCCCCACCTGTGCACCTAATGGAAGGCAGGGTGGCAGTGCTGGAATGAGGGTGTTGGAGGCAGGCAGTGGGGCAAGCCAGTGGCTCCTGATTCTTCGGGTTTGAACCACTTGAGCTCAGCACCAGGCTGGGCCAGCCCAGTCAGGGAAGTTGACTACATATGTGTGGAAAGAAGCGGTGCATGCAAGCTGAGTAACTTCAGGAAAAGGGGTGACCTGGGGTAATTGGGGTTGATATCAGCTTCCACTCAACCCTTTGTCTTGCCAGATCTGTCCAGGGCCACCCGTGGTGAGAAGCTTGAGGTGTCAAGGACAAACAGACAGTGGGAAAGGCTTGCTGGACCCCTTCCTTTCAAAAGCTCTCAACTTTATACCCGGTGGACACACCACATGTTCACCCATCCCTTGGCCTCCCCACCCCAACATTCACAGGGCCCCAGAGGTGGGGCACCTCACATATGCTGAGTCTCTGCAATGGCCCCGCTAGCTGTGATCCTCAGGGTCTGGGCTTTCTGGGTATGATCACACTTCACCTGAAGCCCAACTCTCTTCACGCGGAAGGAAATGGAGATTTAGGGCAGCCAGGGCTTGCCTACGAGCCCAGCAACCTAACTCCACAACCAGATGCCTGCTTCCTGCTCACAAAGCCCACTGGCTACTGGCCTGCTCCTCTCCTGGGAGGAAGGGTGGAATGATGACTGAAGGAGAAGTGGCCTTTGTGGGAGGTCTTGGCTCCAGGAAAGCAATTCCTGCATCAGCCAATAGCCTGCTGCTCCCAGCCAGGAAGAAAGGACACCTGTCACTGTGGGCTAAGAGGAGACACAAACAGGGAAGAGAAGAAACCCACCCACTGTCCCTTGGGCATTTCTAACACAGTCCAGAGTAATCTGAGTGCCAGTGTTAACCAGGTAATCCCAAGAGAGGGCTGTTAGGAAGCGCTCACTCCTGGGCTGGTGAAATGGGTGATCCTGAGACACGGGGCTGAAATATTCTAGCAAATGCCCTAGGCTCTCACTGCTATATCTATGAACAGAGACCACTGATCACGATTCCCTGAACCCCTCAGGAGAACCTGCTGGAGAGGTGTTGCCTCTCACTGGGGCAGTGGTCTTCATGAATTGGGGGACCTCAAACTCTACTCCAGACCCAGACTCTGACATGAGGTTAATGCCCCCAGATATTCCAGCTAACCCTGGAAAGCTTGGCTTTGTGTACCTATCACCTCCTAAGTCTCCTGGAAGTCTTCAGTGTGATGCCATAAAGGAGGCCTCGGCATTTCACAGAGCAGGAAACTGAGCTTTTCTGAGGTCTGGCACAGCAGTGTTGGAATCCAAGCCTCGGTCTTGCTGAGGGGTATGAGCGCCCCGCCACAGAACCACAGGAGCCGGCTCCCGCAGGACTGGGCTCCGACCCCCCAACTAATGCAGCCTGTTCTGCTTCTGTACAGATCTGGCCATAAGAGAAACTTTGGAATCAACCAATATTTCCACCCCCTGCATCTTCCTGGCCCGAGCACAGAACAAATTTGTTCCCCAGCAAAAACAGTCCTGCCACACTCTCCTTCCACCAGGCTGTTCTGAGGCATCAGGACTTCTGGATATTTCCTTTGGGGGCCTCCCCTCCACGCAGGGCTCTACATTTCATACAGCTCCTTATAGGGTGGTCACTCAATCTATTATAAACTAACTTTTAGTTTTGGTTGTACAAGATCTGAGGCATGATGACACTATGATGGCTAAACTGGAACCAACAGGTGGCCCTTGTTCACAAGCAATGACAGGAGTGGTGGTGACACTAGCCACTGGGAAGAGGCCAGCAGCCACGGGCTGGACTGATGGTCTTGGGCTCATGTGCTGGACAGAGACTGGTGTTGGTGCATTCAAATGCCAAGGAGACTCCGTCTCAAAGCCTCTTTGCTTTGCTGCAGCCTGGCTGGAGCTGCAGACAGTGCCTGCCAGGCCCTGGCCCTGCAGAACGGCCTTCATAGAGTTCATGCTAATCCCCTCCACAGGGACAGCAGCCACTGCCAAGCACAGGAGGAGAAAGGAACACAGACAGTTAAGTAAAGGCTTAGAGGGAGAAAATTGGTTTGAGCAAGAAGGTCAAAGACAACAAAAAAACAAAAAGACAAATTACCGGGTAGCCATCTCGTCCCGATTGCCCCTGTGGTGATTAATATGTCATTAATAATCAGACTTTGGCAGAAAACCATATGGCAACACTTAGAATTCAGCCAGGGTCTCAGATCTCTTCTTGTCCTGCCTGGTCTGTAGCCGAGACCACTGATGTGACTTCTTCAGTGGGGAGGGTTTGGGGTTCTGAAGGATCTGGGGGATGGAGCTCCCATTTCCAGACTCATAGGAACAGTTGCGTGGGCCACCAGGGCATACACACACGAGTGTCCTCACTACATCAGCAGAGACATATGGTGAGGGCCACATGGGGATGAAGGGTTCCTGAGGGTGGTGTCATAGCCACTGCAAAAATGCTCCCTTGATGTGGTGCTGAGGAACTATGAAAGGAAACACAGGATTCCTGTCTGCTGTTTGTGGGATGTGGTGAATGGGAAGATGGCCTTGGAAGCCAGAAACAGCACAGGTGGGGGGCCTTATGACCACTGGCTGCTTCTCTGCAACCCCCACGTGCTGGGAGCAGTGACTGCCTGGCCAGCAGGCCTCACTGAGCGTCCACACAGGTTGCAGCTTGAGAATTCTCCATTTGCTTAATACACTTGAGTTTGACAGCTAAGTACAAAACAAACAAAAAAGCACAACTCTCCATAGCCCTCTGCATTACGCACTGTGGTGAGTTCACACAGGCTGGCTTCTGTGTGACAGCCAGAGATGACTCAACAGGCAGAAGCTACTCGTGGCCAGTAAATCTACACTTTTTGTGGGCTGGTTCTTTGGCTCGATGCAGGGCTGCTGTGAGCATGGAGAAGCCCAGGTTCCAAAGGGTTCGGATGGGAAATGAATCACAGTAGGTGGAAGTCAAAGGTACAAGCACTCATCTGAAAGGAATGCTCTGGAAGTTTCACTTGGACTCACATGCTTCTTGAATTGATTTGTCAGGATTTCTTGGCTCTGAAAGGCCGCCAAGATGAAGCAAAAGCAGACTCAGCCTGTGTCTTGGGAAAGTCACAGGATTTCTGGGGTACTTGCCCGTGCCCTGTGTGGACTGCTTATACCCATTTCCTCACTGAAAAAGGCAAGCAAGCTCCAGGACCTAGTAAGCCTAACTTTCTCCTGGCATAACTGACTCACTCCTGAGCCCTTTCTGCCAAAGCACGAGACAAAAAAATTTAGATCAAGCAACAGCTATGGGCACTTAGGAAATGCAGCTTGGTGCAAGCATCCCCTGCACAAAGTTGACCCAGAGGTTTGACAAGGGGCAGCCAGGTTTGTGCCAGCTCTCTGTGGAGGAAAACAGTCACAGAATGCTTCACATGGCAGGCAAGTCTTTGCAACTCTGTGCTTGCATTCATCCTCAGGTTGAAAAAAAATGACCCCTGGCAGTGACTGAATTTTTTTTTTTTCCATTTTGAGACTCCTCTTTAGCCACACACTATTTTCATGGAAACTCTAGAGAGAGAATAAAATGTCTTATCTTTCAGGAGCAGAGAACATAATCCAGGAGACTTACTGGAGGACCTGCAAAACACAAACAGAGAAGCCACAGTCAGGACCAAAGGGAGACGGGACCCTGGCCCCTGCCAGCCTTTCCTTACAGCTCTTGATCACCCCTCTGTGCGAGGCTTTGAAGGGTTAAGTGGCAGGGCAGAGGGAGCACTTCTGCACCCCAAGGGGTCAGGGAAGGCGGGACTAAAGGTCCCACCTGTAAAGCTCTTGCACCCACAGCACAGGTTGACACTCCTGTGGGCACTCAGCACTGTGAGACTGGGCAGCCAGGTGGGAACAAGACTTTGTTCCTGGATAGAGAACACATTATTGTGCTTATCAGGGGCCAGTTCATTTCTGTGGAAGGAAAGAGATTAGGGAAGAAAATGTTTCTGAGGGAAGAAAGAATGCTCCCAAGGGTACTGGAGTATGTGGGCCCCTCAGATGGTGGGGCTGCCGTGTAGAGAACACTCAGGAAACACTTAGGTGTCTCATCTCACAGATTGCAGAGCAATGAGTAGCCACTACTTTGCGGCAATCTTTGTGAGGAGTGGAGAACATCCCATCCACAGACAACAACACAGGGCTCGGAGGGCAAGAAGAGACTTCTTTAAGGTCACATAGTTGGTTAGGGGCACAGCTCATCCCCAAAGAAGGTCTCAAAGCCCTGCACACACTTTCCACTAAGCCACACCGCTTCTAGACTAGCAGCTCCTCTCCTACCATAGACCCCACCTCAGTCTGGAGAGAGGTGGGTACAAGGAAGCGCATGTGGGTCAGCAGGTGTGATACTATGGCTTATAAAAAATATGTATTTGGTCATCTAGATGACATGTGGGTTTTCCTCCACTGACTCAGTCTCCAAAGTCTTGGAATTTCCTAAATGTTGAGAATGGTGTTTCTTGTTATGTGAATCAGGTGGCTTTGGGGGAAGCATCTAAGGAGTGGAGCTAGCTGCCCTCTAATCTGTCAGATAATCTAATCTATCAGATTAGGGGGCTGGAGCTTCCAGTCCCACTACCCCCTCCCTCCCCGGAGGGAGGGACTGCTGACTGAGTTAAATGACCGATGGATTAACTGATTATATCTGTGAAACGGAGCATCTGTAAAATCCCCAAATGAGGGGCATTGGAGAGATTTGGGGTTGATGAAGTGCCCCCCATTTGGGGATTTTACAGATGCTCCATTTCACAGATATAATCAGTTAATCCATCGGTCACTGGTCATTGGGGAGAAGGTGTGCCTGGAGAGGGCATGGAAGCCCCAACGTATGCTGTTTCTGAATAACACCTTTTGTAACTACCCAGTGATCTGGTGAATAAATGGGTTTCCTAAATTCTGTGAGCAGCTCCAGAAAATTAATTAAATATAAAGAGGGGCCCTAGGAGCCTCTGATCTATAGCAAAGGTCAGAAACATTGGTGGCCATGTGGGTTGACAGGCGACTCTGAGGTGACAAGCAGTCAGTAGAATCTGATGCCTTACCAGATACTGTCAGAATTGAGCTGTGGGTCTCCCTGGTCGCCCAGGGGTTAAGTCTTAGAATTACCACCATGATGGCCTGAATTCAGTCCCCAACCAGGGAGTTATCCTGCATGGTGCCTCAGACCTCTCCTGCCTTGCCCATTGCTCCCCTCAGCAGTATATTTCAGTCAATCTGCCTGTTCTGTTCTCCACTCTGTCTGGTGAATTCTCTCACTTCCCACCTTGGCCTATACCCCAGTTCTTTTATGCAAAAATAAATAAAATCTTAAAAAAAAATGAATTGAGCTGAGGAGCTGGGTTCTCAGATACTCCCCTGCTGTCTGAGAATTGCTCATGGTTGTGGGGCGCTCCCACCAGACCCATGCTGTAACTGGATCCAGGAACCCTATTTAGTTGGCCAACACATACAGATTTCTGAGAGTTCAATTTAGGATTTTTCAATTTAACCAAAGTGTGAAACTGACAAGCACTCATCAGAAGCTGTACTTTGAATTTTGATCTTCCCCTGGGCTGTTGATTGGGATCTGATAGCCTCGGGACACTGGGTAGTGGCAGCTAGCACTGCTCCCAATTAGACAGGGATCACGTAGTGACCATGCAGGTGAACAACACACACTCTTCCATTGCTGCATTGTTAGTGATTTTGGATTTGTGCTTTCACATTCCATCATCTGTGTCTGAGATATTCAACATTTTATTATAAGTTAGGCTTTGTGTTGGATGATCTTGTTCCAAGTGCAGCCTAAAGGGAGGGTTCTGAGTGTGTTTGGGGCAGGCGAGGCCTTGGGGTTCTGTAGGGAAGGTGTATTCCACGTATTCTGACTTAGGATAGTTTGCACTTCTGATGGGCTTATCAGGACATAACTCTGTGGTAAGTGCAGGGATATCTGTATTTATGGATCACCTCTGAGAGCCAGAGGCCTCTGGAGCAAGAAGTGGGATGAAGAAGTGAGCAGAAGCAGCAAGATCTCTGACTCAGAATTGCCCTTGAAAGGACAGAGATACCTGAGAAAACAACAACAGCAGGAAGAGCACATGAAGAGACAAGAGGTCAGCACTGTCCAAGGGCTCCAGGCAGGCAGGGCCGACTCAGGAGAAGAGGCCAACCTTAGCTCAGAGGGTGAGGGATGATTACCTGGGGCAGGAAGGAGGGGGGGATATGGCAGAGATGCAAAAGTTCAGAGCATGTGGAGCTCACTGGGTTTAAGGCGACCCCAAGGAGGTTGCTGTAAGGTGGCCCAGAGCTCAGGGCCCTGTTTCCACGTCATGACTCCAATTCTCCACTGACCTGCCTTCCCATTAATAAACCTGACAAATATTTCTCCTCATAAGGCTTACCTTCTGCACTGCTGACTACATCTACCTTCTGGAAGTGCCCCTTCCCTTGTTTTGCAAAATGACACTTTCTGCCTTGGCTATTTAGCTTAACCCCCTCCTCCAGACTCACATATGGAAGCTCTAAAGGCTCTAGTCTAGGTCTGTTCAATTCTTTGGTCCCCTGCCTCCTCTCTCCCATCACTCCCAAGGCACAACTAAGTCTGTGCCTTGGAAGCCTTGAATCCTTTTTTGAGCTAACTGCTGGACATTTCCCCTTTAATAATCCCAAGATTTTCCAAGCAAATGCACACAGCTGGCTGGCTAGTATGCTCCAGATGCCATTATTGTTTGGGAAAGCAGCACTGCACTAACACCCTGGGGCTTCTGGGAGAAGAGACCAGGTAAACCTCCCCTGAGAGGCCAGCAGAAAAGCACACAGCCAGGCCCTGCCTTGGACGAGCTTTCAGGGGCCCTCAGTGAAGACCACCAACTGCTGCAGCTACAGCCCAGGGGATGTGGGCACACCACAGTCTAGAGGGAAAGAGCACCTTCAGGGTCTCCAGGAAGCCCTGGGACATAAGGTAAAACTCCCCACAGAGATGAGGGGTGAGGAGGGGTTGGTTGTGGGGGATACGGGTGGAGCTGGGGGAGTGGAAGTGTGTACAGCTAGGCCCAGTGCCCTACTGGGGTTTTGGACCTGCCCATCATTGCAGCCTCAGTCCAGGCAGACCACGAGCTCTGGCCAGTGTGCTCCAGGTGCCATTATTGTCTGGGAAAGCTGAACACACACAGACACCCTCAGGCTTCTAGGGGGTAGTGAAAAGGTAAATTCCCTGACAAAGGTAAGTATGCAATATGGAAGACAAAGAATATAATTTCTAAATCAAACACCTGAAGTTACCCATCCCCTCGTGGGCAAAAGTCCACCCAAAAGGGATTGGCCCAAAGCAAGGCATGAAAGCCCACCACAAGACTAAAGCACCGTCTGGCCGGGACCCATAGGGATCCCAAAGGGTCAGAAATGGCCAGACAAGTCTGGGAGGAAAAGAGCAAAATCAAAATCAATATAAACATTGCCATAGTCAACCTCCCCATGGGTTTCTCACCCACATCTCTTTCAATCAGTCCAGGGCCATTAAATAAACACGGTTTCTTCACATGCCTCCTTTTGCTCTATGTGGCTTCCTCAGGTTTACTTCTGGCTCTCCATCCTGCTTCCTTCTTCTTCTCAGATTACTTCTTTTTCTTTTTTTCTTTCCTCAGCTCCACCTTTCTTTTCAGTGGGGGCAGGGAACCTGGAACTTCCCCTTTTCCTAGGGACCACCCTGTTACAGTCTTTTTTTTTTTTTAATTACAAAAGTTTATTTTTACATCATTTTGTACATTTTTTTTTCCATCTCAATTGTAATCCCCGAGGGTTTCCCATCACCAAGTCACCCGAGTGCCATCACCATAATCCCGTGCATTTCCCTCCCCCCACCCCGTTTTTGATCCCATTCCCCACTCCACCCCCACAGAATGTCTCTGGTATATGGTTGTTCATTATTTTTGTTATTTTCTCGCCTGGTCCATTATACTCCTGCTATGAGTGAAACCATCCGGTATTTTTCTTTCTCTTTCTGGCTTATCTCACTAAGCATGATCTTTTCCAGCTCCATCCAAGTTGCTGCAAAAGACATGTGTTTCTCTTTTTTGGTTGCTGAGTAATATTCCATTGTCTATATGTACCCTGTTACAGTCTTAAGTCAGCAACAAAAAAACACAGAGTAGCAGGCTGGATTAAAAAACAGAATCCACCTTTTGCTGTCTGCAAGAAACAAACTTAACTACAAAAGACAAACAGACTGAAAATAAAAGGTTGGTAAACAATGCTACAAGCAAATGGGTCAACAAGAAGGCAGGAACAGCTATACTCATATCAGATGAAACAGACTTCAAACTAAAGAAATAAAACGAGACAAAGATGGTCACTACATTATGAATAGCGGGAGAACACTCAAGAAAGTATAACACTCATCAACATATGCTCACCAAATGAAGGAGTGCCAAAATATATTAGACAATTATCATTGTTATAAAATGAACAACAATGTAAATAGATACATGAAAAAAAAAAAAGATTGTAAATTGGCTAAGCCTTTTTGGAGGAGTACCCAATAAAATACAACAAAGTCATAGCAAACAACAACAACAACAAAACAAATGCACACCACTATGCTCACCTTTTGCTCA